TTCCCACAACTCCATCCTGGTCCTTTTTCTCTAAGCTTTCACTCTAAGTAGCCAAAGGCCCTCAGCCTCTCATCTCGTTTCCTCAAGGTCCCCTCTCTCTTTCGAAAGACTCTAAGTGCTGCCCTTCACCCTCTCCTATATGCCATAGGATCTCTGCTAGATTCATGGTTTTAAAAACCACCTTCATGTTACTAGTGGAATACCTTTGGGATGGGGATGTTTGGGTTTTTTGTTTGTTTTGGCTATGCTTTTTGAGACAGGGCCTCACTCTGTAGCCCAGACTGGCCTAAACCTCACTATGTATTCCTTGCTGGGCTCAAATCTATGAAGATCTTCCTGCCTCCAATTCTCATTGTCTTGGGACGGCAGGAGTGAGTCACTGTACTCAGGTCATAGCTTGAGTAATTTCCCTACACCTCAGCAGTGGGCTCAGGCCCGTAGATCCAATGCATACAGATGGAACTCCTGATCTTGTCGCCTGTGTGATGGGCTCTTCTCTCAGTGTTTCTCATTCCACTGAACGCCATCTTCCTCACCCTGTTTAACAAACCAGAACCCTGACTTTTCCAAGGATTCTCCTGCCTCCACCTCCCAGGTGTTGAGATTATAAGCCTGTGCCACCTTGCCTGGTTTGTTCAGTACTAAGGGTTAAACCCAAGGCTTCATGCATGCCAGGCAAGCAAGCAGTCTACCCACTGAGCCAAGTCCTAGCCCAAAGTGCCGGCTTTATAAACATGTCACTTCTACATTCTGTGGAATGGTGGGGCAGGAATAATTTTTTCTAAATAAACAGAAAATGAACAAAGTATAAAATACTGCTGTCTTTGCTATTAGATAGGAAGCAAGTAACCACAAAATGCAAATGTGTGCTGTGACATGCTTTCAGCACAGAAGCACCCTACTTAGAGGGAAGCAGCTGTAGACTCTTGTGTACCAGGCTTTTTCTTTTAGGCCACCAGCCAGCTCCCAAATCATGACACACAGACTCATTATTAGTTATAAATGCTTGGCCTAGATTAGGCTCGTTTCTGGCTAGCTTTTTTTTTAACTTAACCTGTTTCTCTTTATTTGCCTTTTATTTATTTATTTATTTATTTATTTATTTATTTATTTATTTATTCATTCTCTTTCTGCCAGCCCCACCTAGCCTTTCTCTGACCAGCTATTGATCGTTAAGCTCTTTATTAGACCAATCAAGTGCCTTAGGCAGGGAAGATGAAAAAGATGCAACTTATCTTTACATAATTAAACACGCATCTTTACATCGTTAAACAAATGCAGCATAAACGAAAGTAGTAACACACTTTTACACAGTTAAAGTAATATTCCACATCATAAGCAGAAGTAACTCATCTTTACATAGTTAAAGTAATATTCTACACCACTCCTAGGCTTCCAGTGGGAATATTTTGCAGTGTATTCAACTATCACCACAGGACCAGATCCACTACGTTAGGACTTCAAAGTGGGAAGGCACCTGGAACTAATATGATGACTCTTACTCCGTTCTTGCTGTAGTACTGTGGTTAACTCTGGAGCTAGTCAGATAGAATTTTAATCCAGGCTCCACAATTTATCGACTTTCTAACTGTGGACAAATCATTTAACCTCTGGGTCACAGTCTCCACATCTGGAAAGTGGGGACAGTGAGAATATTGTTTTTTCAGGGTTGATGACGACTTGAGAAGAGAGGCAGCAGAGAGCCCCAGCTGACTCTGCTCCCTCAGACTGATCATCAAATGAAATACACTGTGAAAGCCACATTAGTGGTCTGCATCCAGCATTGCAAGGGGATGGCGGCGTATCTGAAAACAGTTGACGCATCTACACTCAAGGATCTTACTTGGCAGCTCTGCCATACTGAGAAGCCTTACCCATGAAGTGGAAGAATAAAGACGCTGAGTATGGAGTGAAGTGAAAGAAAAATACAAAAAGGAAAGAAAGATAGTGGGAGAAAGACAGATTTCTGGGAGGGAGAGAGGGAGGGAGGGAGAAGAGATGAAGGGAAAGGGGGAGAAAGAGGAAGAGAGAGAGAACACAAGGGGCCATGTGCAACAATCACACATCTGTGAACCTGTACTCTAGCATTACGGCGGCTGAGACAGAAAAGTAGCAAGTTCGTGACCAGCTTTAGGCTACATTTGAGTTATCTGAGACCAGTTTGAGCGATGTAATATCATCTTTAAAAAACTTGACACTTTTGGGTTTTGAAAAGCAATTTCTTAGATTTGACAATTAAGAGTTCACTGCTTCACTGGAGATGTGGTTCATTCACAAAATGTTTGGATATCATGCATGAGGCCCTGTGTTCAATACCCAGTACCCCATACAACCTGGCATGGTAACACATGCCTGTAATCCAAGAAATCAGAGGTAGAGGCAGGAGAATTAGAACTTCATGGTCATCCCGAGCCACATAGTACATTTGAGGTCAGCTTGGGACACAAAAGACCCTGTCTCAAAACAACTAATGAAATGGAGCTCATTGAGGACTTCACAGGGGTTGACAGCTGATGTAGAAGCAGCATTTAAATGGGTATAAAGGGCAGAAGAGGAAATGTAGTACATAGAGCATAAATCCAAGAGGTAGACCAGAATATTGACTCAAATCACCTCCACCATGTACTACCATGTAATTCAACATCTCTGTACTTTTATTCATCTGTAAGATGGAGATAACAGCAAGAAAGTCCTGATAGGGTCATTTGAGGTTTACATGAACCTAAATATGTGAACCATTTAATACAGTGCTTAGTATGTGGGAGGCACAAAGTTAAATGTAACTGTTCAAAGCATGAAAGAACCAGTCAGGCAGCTGAAGCAGAAAGTGAATTTGGTATCTACAAAAATGTGGGGTCATAGAAGTGAGAGGCAGTTCGAATCTGATGAACTAATGGCTTCAAAGTCATTCCATGGCAGTTGTGACCCAAATGTTAGGAAGCTGCTGCTATAACCATGGTCTGGCACTGTTACTGCTACGGTGTCTCCCACAAAGATTGAGCAGAGACACTGAAATGGGGACTACAGACACCACAGTATGTTGGGAACTTCCTGCAGACCACCAGAAGTCAGACTTCGTCTAAAATATACACCCCCATCTTCTTAGCATAACTGGAAATGTATGTGAACCCTCATTGTATCCAAAACCCTTGCTGCAAGACTTTGGAAAATATGTTTGCCCTTGTGTTTCAGGGGAAGCATGAGGATAAGGACAGACAGTGTGGAGCAGCAAACAATATCCAGTTCAATCTCTCTCCTCTCTTCCCTCCCTCTGTGTGTAGAGGGCATAGGTCAACGTCAGGTATCGTTGCACAGGACTCATCCGCCTTTCGGACTTTTTTAACTTTATTTTATTATGATGATGTATGCATATTTATGATGGGTAGGGCGTGCACATGCAGCATCCCATGTATGGAGAGGTCAGAGGACAACTTTGTGCAGCTGCTTCGGCTATATGCGTGCTCCAGGGATTGAGCTCACGTCACTAAGCTTTCACGGCAGGTACCTTTACTCGCTTAGCCATCTCACCAGCCCCACCTTAGTTTTGGAGATAGTCTCTCACTGGCCTGGAACTCAGTGACCAGGCTAGGCTGGTTGGCCAGTGAGCCCCAAGAATCTACCTGTCTTTGCCATTTTAGTTCTGGGGTTACAGGTGCATGCCACCACACCACCACTTTTACATGCGTTCTGGTGATCTAGCTCAGAGTCTCCTGCTTTCGTGACAAGCACTTCATCAACCGAGTTATCTCCCTGGCCCACAGCTCCAATACTTTTCATCCTGACTGCTGACACCAGAGATCGCAATTGAAAACATCCCAGATTGACAAACTGTTGTAAAATACAAAGAGGAATGAGTACCTGTTTAGGAAAATGAATGTATCTTTCTTAATGTTGCAAGGAAAATTGTGAGATGCACTTCAAGTGGTTTGTAAGTTGAGACCCAGAAGATGAAAGAGAAATTAAGGGAAGTTCTATGTCACCAGTAGATGACATTTGCTCCCTACTTTACAGGGATGATCACACTATGAAATAGAACCTTAAGTGGAAAAGGTAGGTTGGGGGAAGGCTGATGCGAATGGACTAGCTAAAATTTCCAACCTCAACCTACTCTTCACCATTTCTGAAAGAAACAAAATCAGTATGTTGAAGACATATATCTGCACTTCCATGTTCATTGCAATACTATTCACTTAGTCCAGATCTAGAATAACCTACAGCTGGGCATGGTGGTGAGCACCCTTTAATCCCAGCACTTGGGAGCCATAGGCAAATAGATCTCTGTGAGTTGAAGGCCAGCCTGGTATATACAGTGAGTTTCAGGCTACCTACCCATGGCTACACAGTGAGATCTTGCCTCAAAATAGATAGATAGATGTTAGATAGATCGATATATATAGAATTAAGGTAAGAATCTGTGAATGGGTAGATGGATAAAAATGTGGTAGATATACACACAATGGAATACTACTTTGCATTCAAAAAGAAGAAACTAATTTGTAACAGTATGAATGAACCTGGAGGGCATCGTGCCAGATGAAATAAGACAGGATTTATATTTATAAAGGTTAATACTGCACATCTCAGTTCTCATATGTGGATTATAAAAACATAAACTCATAGAAGTGGGGGTAAAATAGGTTTTAACTAGGGCCTGGGTGGGGAAAGAGAGAGGGTATTATTTTGATCAAAGTAGACAAAGTTTCAGTAGAATAGGAAGAATTCATCTGTGCACAATTCAGTGACTATAGTTAATACTATTTGTATATTTCAAAAGAGTAAAAAGCAAGGATTTTAAATGTTCTCACTATAGATGTGGTAATATTTGAGGTAATAAATGATATGTTGTATTAGCCTATGACCATAGATAGCATGATATATGTATGGATTGAAAGCTCACACTGTTGTCACCAACATGCAATTTGTATTTGTCAGTTGAAATAAAATGACACTTAAAAAGATAACTTCCTGAACATCAGTCAGTAGAAAAAATAAACAAATGATCTTATTTATAAAGCACTGTTTATTCTTGTTTATTGAAAATGTCCATTTTAAAAGTCTTTAAAATAAAAACAAGTTTAGAAAATTTGAGTTCCTGTAAGAAGGGGCATGACAGAGAAGAAACTGAAAGGCCTCTAAGGGCAGCAGTTTAATTACAGAGGAACAGGAACCCATTTATAGAGTACTGTAAACAACACAACTATGGAGACATGGCTGTCGGGTTAACATGGCTTCATTTCCTTTATATTATTTAGTGTGTAAGCGCGGGCAGCCCACTGCACGAGTTTCATTATCCCAAGTACCAAGGGCCTCTCCTCAGAAGGGCAAAGTCCCCAAACATGCATATGTACACATCCTTTTAGAGACCTTTCAATGTCCTAAGCAGTCAACTAAATTATTTGGTAATCACTAAAGTGTAAAATTTGCATTTATTGCAAACTATTGACTAAGCACAGGCAGGACACATGTGAACGTCTGGGTTGCTATTGTTGTTTCTTATTTTAAATTTTTACATGAAAGATGTCTCATAGAAACAGGACAGCCATTCTCAGAAACCATCACTAAAGCTGCCAGGATGGCTTTGTGCAATTGTCTGGGGTTGGACTTCAGGAATTCTCCATTTTCTGTGGGTGCTATAATGTCATCCATGTAGTAGGAGACAATAGCCCTGTACCATGAAATTATGGAAACTGTGAGAGCTTCCATACCAGAAAGCAAAAGGGCTCCTCAACAAGATTCTAGGACTCAAGTTTGGTTTTGAAACAGCACTTAGAGGCACCCATCAAATATACATATAAGACTGTTGGTTTTCTACCTCTCTTTAAAGTGACTTTGCCATCTGGCCCAATTGCCCTGCCATCTGAGGAGGTAGGCAAGAGCTGTGCTGCTCCATCCTGCAGCCTTGGTCCATTTTGACTTGTGTTGAATTTAGGTGTACAGTGTTCTCCTGGGGCTCTCTTCTAAATCTGCTTTCTCACAGTTCAGATTTCTCAACTACTTACAAAGTCAATGGTTTGACATTATAAACAACTTGTGCTAACTAGTTTCAGACAATCAGCATCACTAGAAACCAGCACAGCTAGTGGAGGGGCCCTTTCACTCAGGATATACAAACTGGTTCATCATATTCAAGGCCTACTCCAAAGAGACCAATGATGATTCTAATTGCTCACTGCACAAACCAGAGCTTGATAAGATGGGATGGAAGGTGTATGGTAGGGCACGGGATCTTGTCCCCCAGGTTGTTTAGACAGATGAAAAGGCTGTAGTTTGAATATTCAAGGAAAAGTCACTGCTCGTAGTAACTGACAAAATAAGCGAAGCACATCCACACTAGTTCACACACCACTTGCTATGGCTGGTTAAAAGCATGGGGGAGGGGGAGGTAGAAAACTCACATAGAGGCAGAAGGCTGGGCTGTCAAGCTACAGTGCACTAGGAATAGCTGCTCTGCCCTGCTGCTGAGGGGGGGTTGCCTGAAGCAGTTTGCTGACGGACTTGGTGCTGGTATGGACAGTTGGAGTTCTGACTCGGCTGACTTGAAATGGACACCAGCACAAAGGGAAGCAGGGCACGACACTGCTCTTGGTCTTTACAGACAACACAGGGAAATCATTTCTAGAGGATCGAGGGGGCCATGTGACAGTCCAGGGAAGGGCAGCTGGATCATTGGGCAAAGGTGTTCATTTTCACCTACTCTAGACATAGCCTGAGAAGCTTTGTCTTCAGCGAATTAGGTAGTGAAGGGCTGTTGGAAATAGCAAAATATTGAGGCCATTTTATCACCACCCCAGGTTGTTTCCCCTGTTAAGACAAATATCAATTGATAACCAAGTAACAAACACTCAAGCAAACAGAGGTGGGCAGGAGAGAGAAAGAGAGAGAGAAAGAGAGAGAGAAAGAAAGATCCCAACACAGCGAAAGCTGAAGTGCACATTCAAATCATTCAGCTGGCCAGCTCAGCAAGTGCTGAAGGCCCTGTGCTCAGCGGCACAGTGACGGTTATGGGAGGATTGGACTCTTGCTGCTGGATTCAGCTCGAATGCATTCATCTGTTTGCTTCAACAGCTTCCGGACTAGTTTTTCTAGGTCCTTCCTCGACTTCAATTCTTCTTCCAGGCATTGCTTCATTCTCTTATTCTCCTAGAAGGAAAAAGAGTTGTTGATCACTGAGCCAAGGCAGCCTTTCCCAGGTTCCTTCTCCTCCTCCTCCTCCTCCTCCTCCTCCTCCTCCTCCTCCTCCTCCTCTTCCTCCTCCTCCGCATGGCATCCTTCACTCTGACTACATATTCTGAGCCCAGGCTGTGTCTTGATTTTCGGCCTGTGTGTGAGCAGCCTCCTACACCCTTCACTTAAATGCAAGTGCTCCCTAAGACTGAATCTGCCCTGGTTCCAAGCCCTTTTGTTTAAGGTCACTTCTCTATCAATGCAAGTGTGCATTAAGAGGCTTCCCAAATATCTCTGATGCCAACTTCATCTTCTGAGTACCAAACTCACAGGACAATGCCAGTGTGGCAGGTCAATCTAGAAAGATTATAAGCACTTTAAACTTACTATGTTCTAAAGGGAACTTGGTATCACCTCCCCCATCACCCCAAACCTCTTCCAGGGCTTCCGAATCTGTATCAAATTAGATCTCCAGGGGAGAAGCTTCTCTACTGTCTGTTCTTTCTTAATCCCAGCACGGTGCCGTCATATGCCATAAGTTCCAACTCTACCATGTCTCTTTACACTTGCTCTACTCTTCATGGCTCAGTTCAGGACTTCGCCATGCCCCATCCAGAATTTGCTAAGAATTACACAAGTGCTCCTCTAGGCTCTTGGCTCTCCTCTTCCTTATCCTCCCCCTTGTCACAAGGTACAATCAGAGTCATCACATAGGTAGAGTGCATATCACAGAGCGAAGGATCGATCGCATCACCAGTAAATTCACAAACCACCAAAGACAGTTCTCTTTTCTCTCCTTCCATCTCGCCTTCATTATTCCCTTCCTTTCTTTACTTTTCCATGACAAGACCTTGCTATACAGCCCAGACTAGCAAGTCCATGATCTCCTTGCCTCAACCTTCCTAGTGGCTAGGATTACAGGCAGGCACTCCTACACCTTGGCTTGCTTACATTTTTTAAGATGTGAGGGAATGAGAAAGTAGTATCTATGTTTGGGACTCTGCTGCATACATCTAAATAGTAAGCCTCAGAAATTCAAGGTCACATGATTAAAGAAATAAAACCCACCTGGTAACACAAAGGAAACACAAATTCTCCCCCAGTACCTTGCTCCTGGACTCTACCTGACACCAGCTTCCAGCTGGTGGCCAAGAAGACAGGGCAATTCTGTTACCTGAGAAGATAACTTTGACAGTGCGTTACCTGCTTCAGTTCTTTGACCTCATCCTTCAAGGCATAAACAGTATCAACAAGGCTCCTGAAACATACAGAGAAAATTCAGAAATGAATCACTGGTACTGAAGTGCTGATAAATAAGCAACACATAACTCTCTATAAATACAGATATGGAAATCAGTGGGGTTTCTAGCTGATGGGGAATATCCCTGCTCTGAGTGGTCCACATTCTCTCTCTTCATAGGAGAAAAATTCTCACCACACATGCCCACTTCAACACCATGTTAGACCACCATTTCTACACTATCCATTTCCTTCCCCACTCAATTCCAGCTTGAGTAACCAGAAGACAAGAGATAGTGGCCATAAAATTTGTCTTTGAGGGTATACCTGACAAATAAAAACTGTATGTATTTAGAGTATACAACATGATGCTTTGGTGTGTTTGTCTTATGAAATGATGCCCCAAAATGAAACTATTAACACAGTCATCACAAGATGTAGTTGTATCTACTATTTATGAGTGTTTGTGTCTTTTGAGAACACTGGAGGTCTATGCTCTTAGTAAATGTCAAGAATAAAAGACACTATTATTAACTTTAGTCATTATATTGCTTATTAGATAGACTAAAACCTATTTATCGTCTTATAGAATTGAACTTTGTCGGTTTTTTTTTTTAACCAACATCACCTATTTTTTTCTACCCCCTCCAAGCCTCTGGAAACCATTGTTTTACCCTCTGCTCCTGTGAGTTCAATTTTTTAAGATTCCCATCTTCAGGTTTGATTGCTGTAGCTTTAGAGTAGGAGTAAATATTACTTACTATATAATGAGAGGTATCACAAGAACTTGTGTATACTACAATAGCCATGTTATGGTATTATCCTTCCCATTTATCTAACCTCACATGACAGAGAATCAAGACATTAAAAATAATATTTTTTTAAATGGCAAAGTTCCCTGGATAGTTATGGAATTCTTTGTCCCCCAACTATTTCTAGTCAAGGAATTTACAAATATAGGTTTTAGTTAGGGATATTTTAAGTTTAATTTTTATTATTGATGTGCATGTTTATGTGCACATGAGTGCAGGTACTCAAGGAGGACAGAAGAGGGTGCCAGATTCCCTGGAGCTGGAGTTACAAGCAGTTGTGAGCTGCTCAACATGGGTCTTGTGAACTAAACTGGGTTCTCTGAAAGATCAGCTGGTGCTCATAACTGCTGAGCCATCTCTTCAGGCCCTAGGTTTTACTTTTGATCCTTCCACTTACTATTACTCTGCCCTTCTTCAGTTTCCTTCTCATCTTGGCCATTGCTTTCTTTACATGTAAAAGAGAGATAATACTACATTCCTTAAAGCCTTCCCATGGCTATTATGATTACTATACCAATAATAATGTTCTTAATAACAACAATTAGTATACCTGCTAGTAATTTTTGAGTGCTAACCTTTATAATTACTATATTTGATCACATAACAGCCCAGAAAATATTTCTATCATTCCCATTTTGCAGATGATGAAAGCAAATCTGGAGAGATGGAAGAACTAGCCCAGGATGACACTGGCAATACATAGCAAATTGAGAGCAAAACTGGGACTTTGGCCTATTCTCTTGAGCCCAAGTGTTTTACCATACAGCAGGTGGGAAAACACATTCACAGTGCCAAGCACTGTCAGAGGTGCTGTCCTTTGCAAATTCAGGCCTGACTTCCAAAATGACTCAAGTATAAAGGAGTGAGTTTCTTGGCTACTCCATGCTTCTTTATGAGCTTGAAGGTATTTAACTTGACCCCACCCCGTGTAAGTCACACTCACAACTGTGAAAGGTAGGCCATAGGCACAGTTTCCCAGAACCTTATTTTCTTCATCTTTGAAAGTGATGCTTTTCCCACCAGATTACTTTAGGACTTTACAAGAGGTCAACTGCGAGAAAAGCGGTTCCTGACTGAGAAGATGTGAGTAGCAATGCTGTGGGCAGGTAGATGCATGTTAAGGCCTTCCCGGATAACTCCGGACACACTATGTGGAGATCTCTGGTTCTGGGAAGCTGCTTCCTCCACAGGGGAGCAGAAGGTTTCTAGCCCTCGGCTTCTGTCACCCTTCTTCCTGCCCTCTTGGGGCTCCCAACTGTATGCTCAACAGAGAAGGCCCTTTTTGTGGAGGAAGGGGAAGAGAAGGATGAGGATGAAAAGAAAGAGGGAGAATGGAGAGGAAAGAGGAGGGGCCCTTCAAGGAAGGACTTGTGTGCTGGCTAGTTTTATGTCAACTTGGCATGGCTATAGGCATTTTGGAAGAGGAAGCTTCAACTGAGGAAATGTTCCCTACCAGATTGGCCTGTGGACAAGTCTGTAGGGCATTTTTCTTAATTACTGAGTAATGTGGAAAGGCCTAGCCCATTGTGGGTGGTGCCATCTGTGGGCTGGTGGTCCTGGGTTCTATAAGAAATCAGTCTGAGCAAGCTATGATGAGCAAGCCAGTAAGCAGCGCTCCTCCATGGCCTCTGCACCAGCTCCTGCCTCCAGGATTCTGCCCTGTGTGAGTTCCTGCCCTGACATCCCTCAGTGATGGAGTGTGACCTGAGACTTGTAAGCTGAAGTAAACACTTTTCTTGCCCTAGTTGTTCTGGTTCTGGTGTTTGATCACGGCAATAGAGACTCTAAGACAAATTGCCATACCTCCTTTCAGGCCCCAGACATGTTAAGAAAGGGTTACTAAAATACAATAAGCAAAACCTCTCCAACACTAATAAACACACGTAGGTTTGGGGAAAAGAAAGAAAGGGGTCACTTTCTCTACTCACTTTTCTTCAATGATGGTCTGCCCGTTACTTCTGGTTTCTTCAATAATGAGTTTCTCTTCCTCAGGGAGTAGAACTTGTGGAACGGAATCCTTCCGAGTACCTGTAAGTGAGAACGGCCAGAGGCTGTTCGGTCTTAGTGCTTTCCACTGCTGTTAGAGCAGCAGCTTTCTCCACACCCCCGCACTCAGAGGAAAATTATGCCACTCTTCAATTTTCTTGACAGAGAGAACTCTAAATGGCCAAATGATGTCATTTGATCTTCAAGGAGGGGGAAATGATGTGCTAAGACCTCCCCAGAGCAAAAGAACTGACCAGTGGTCACCCTGTCTCTGCCTTCCTCCAGGACTCACACACCACATCCCACGATCGGTATTCTTTATTTCAGTAAAGATTGGGCTGAGAGTAGCACTACCCTGGGCTACAACATGCTAAAAGGGCTTCAGAAGCACCATTCGTTCTTTTTGAAATCCTCTAGGGGAATGTGGAGTGACTTCAAGCTATTTTTGGCCATGGGTACAGTGGAGATGGGAGATTATCATATCAGCAACAAAACGCAAGTATCTTCATTGCTCTCTGCCCACACTGTCTCGACAGCCTGGGGCAGAGGAGGTGACAGGTAGTTTCAACTTCTCCACAGCTCAGTCTAGAGCCTTCCTCTCTGGGCTCAAGGAATTAGTCTTTGGTCTGCCTGGGTCACTGGGCCTGTTCTGTTTTAGAACAACATCCTTCAGAGGAGTATGCACTCACTGCTTTTATTTGATCACTCCCGTCTTCCCAGAGGTGAGATGCTTCCATGTCCAGTGACTAGCTGTCATAAGTATTTAATTAGTATGCAGAAGAGAAATGGATGGATGAATGAATGAATACAGAAAGCCAAGAGCAGTCAGTTCTAGGGAAACAGGATATTTGACTGGGGTGAAATAGAGGGCCACTGTGTTGCTGAAATGTTGGCTACATCTGAATGCCAAGCACGGCATTCAATACTTCCTACATGTACAAGGGAGGGTAGGAACAAAACTGTGCCTCTTTAGGCCAGATTACATGCCTGAGCTTTCACCTCTAATTACTTGTATGGACTCTACATCTAGGAAAACAAGTGGTACAGAGGTAAAGTATGGTTGGATTTTGTATGAGTGATGCTCTTACAGTGTCTCCTCATCCCCACTTCCATCCTAGCTTTCACAATAAAAACTTCTCTCTTTCCTCTCCCAGCTCATAAAATCTTTCTATTAGGACCAAGCATGCCAGGAAGCTACACCCAGATTACATCTGTGGTGCAGTGTCCCTGTTCATGGTGAAATGTGTTGATTTCCATGTCAAATGCTCTCCTCTTGTGACAGCCTGTGAGATGGGCTACCTTCAAAGAGTGCGTCAAGGCAGTCTCCTAAGAAACGCCTCTCATACCAAGTAAGCAGCTGGTCAATAGCTGTAAAAAATACAGCACGCTAGGACATTTGGTCCTGATGCAGATATGGGAAACTTTCTAAAGTTTCCTATATGTATACGATGATAGAAAACAAAATATATAATCTATGTGACTTGGACTGGAAAAAGCACAAGGACTCACTCACTAGAAGGCATCACCTAGCTTTCAGGGTGAAAAGCTGTTTAGGGAAATGCCCCCACCTAACAGCTCCTTGAGACGTTTTGTTCATTTTGAAGAGCCTTAGCTGTGCAACTACATTTCTAGACTTTCAGAGCAACTTTGAAACCTAAGCCTGGTGAAGCATCGTTCACTTCAATACATAGCTGATGAAAGATAGTATTTTGACTTCCTTTTCAATTCTGCCTATAAGATGAGATTAGCATCAGTTCGCAGACACAGGAACTCTCTGGGCTCTTTAATTCCTAACTAGTGCTGGTGAAGGTACCTGAGTAGATCAAAAGAAAGTGACTTTTTAAAAATCCTTTTCGTTTCTATCACCTCCAACTTTTTCCCTCTTGCATATCACTGTCTCTCTGGGTCAAAATCAACAGTGCGTAAACAAAGCACCCAGTAGCTGAAAGTGCCTTATCTGAAAGATTCAGTCCTGTGCCTCTGCTCTGCACTGAGTCACATGCTTTCCACAGCCTGCAACTGATCTGCACTGATGCTCTTTTATTCCCCCTAAGAGACAGTGAGCAGCAAAGAACAAACCCCGTTCGTTAGTGCAAGCAATATGGGGAATTCTACTGGAGCCATTACCTTGTTGAAAACTGGCGCTGGTGCAGTAGGCTTCGATCACCTTAAGAATCTGAGCATCCTCTTCCAGAGCAGCTGTACCTGTCAAATTTAATCAGTAATGACTTCTCATAGATATGTGACCCTGGACACTCAAAATGATGCTGTGCCCATCACTGCCAAAGATTTGCAGTGTTTCTGAAAGGCAGGCAAAAATTTGTTCAAGCCTCATGAGACAAAAGAGTGACACCAACAGTAACCCTGAGAGCTCTGGGGTCAGTACTCAGGGGAGGAGGCTGCTCCTGAAGTTCAGAACTCTAAATTAGTGGGGGTTCTGTTAGTCATCTCTTGAAGGTGAAAATCATGGCTTTGGTGTTGGCTTCAGCACTCACCCAGAACACCAAAGTCTTCCTGGTAATTAAATGTCAAGGCTTACCTTCTTTAAGAGCTTTTCCCTATTAACCCTACCCATCTTCTCAACCAGCCAGGATATCATTGGCTCCCCCCCCCCCCCCCCGGCAACTCAGTCTTTAAATGCTCAGATGGCAATGTTGCACTAATAAGTTTAGTTGTGGGTGGGGATGGGGTTGCAGGAGCAGGAGTTCAGCAAAGATTTACTTTGTATATAACATTATATTATTTATATTATAATATTATATTATTATAATAACCCAGGCTGACCTCTAACTTGTTATATAGCTGAGGATAAACTTGAACTTGTGATTCTCCAAACCTCCACCTTCCAAGGGTTGACAGGCACATGCTACCCATGCCTGGTTTATGTGGTGCTAGAGATCAAATTTTGGGCTCTGTGCTTGCTAGGCAAGTACTCAATGAACTGAACTATGTCCCTAGCCACAGGCGAGATTCATCTAAGCTAGACTTGCAACTGGTACACACAGTGCTGCTGCAACACTGACTCCTTGTTCACAATTTCAGAGCCAAATACAAGCATATCACTTGACTAACTGACTTGATCAGTCCTCTAGATAAAGCTCTCTTTCCAGATGTCAGCAGACTGACTCCTTGGCCAACTGAGAGCATCCTTGAGCATTAGAGAGCCAGAAGGATTTCTATCCTCAAGTCCATTTAGTTTACTTGTTCAGAAGAATATCCCAGGCATCAGAAACCTAGAGGGGAAAAATGTGTCCATAGCAAATGGGCCCCATTGGGGGATGGAAACCAGGAGGGATGCAGTGTTCTGCAGCATGAAAATGACACAGATTGATGTTTGTCAGAGTCGGCAGGAAGTGCAGCAGGGGACAGCTTATTCAGAAGTCTTACAAGTGACCAAATTTTCCACGTATTTTCACAACAGATGATGCCAAGAACAAACTGCTCTAAGTATCTGCTTTTAAAAAGTCTCTTGTTAGTTCACCGTAAATAAGTTGGTAAAGGTACGGAACATACTTTTCCTAATCACGTATTCTTCCTCAGATGCTTTTCTCTCCGTCTTTCTTTTGTGAAGAAACTTCTTCATTGTTTTGGGGCTCTTACTAGATTCCTGTAAGGATAACGGTTTTTCCATGAATTAACATTCTCTCCCAAATACAAATGAAAATAGAGCCAATAAAATGAATCCGAATGCATCTCTCATCGTGATAGCATCCGTTAGGAAAGTGTCAGAATTTTCGATTACACATAATAAAATGGCTTCAATTAACTTGGAAAGGTTCAACAAAGCACAGGCAATGACAGTCCACTCTCAGTTGCCACAGGAACGAGAAGAAGAATGAAGAAGGATGCAGAGTGTGCAGGAGGGCCAGTGCCTTTAGGGTACCATCTGCAGCAAGAGTGATGAGATTTCAACCCCAGAAGGGTACCAGCATTCCTAACTTGGCTGATGTTCCCCACGGAGAGTTTGAAGGGAATTAAGTAAACAATGTAACTGTTGCTAGAACAGTTATACCTTTTCTGAGAGTTTAAAACTATTTGAGTAAATTTTGTTTAAAAGCAGTCCCACAAAGAAAACTATAACTCCTGGCAGTTAGATGAGAAAATTAAGGTGGCGAGACTGAGTTATTTTCTCAGAGAGGAGAATTTTGTGAAGGGTTTCCTGATAAATAACTTTGGGTTATATACAGCCAAAGCCACACTTTTAATTAGTAACAATGGAGATGAAAACTAGTGAATTTGGGTTTTGCCATATGTATAACTAATAATTAAAAAAACAGATCAATGTTAATATGAGAGTAAACAAATTGGACTCTTACAATCTTATACTTACAATCCCAAGATATTATCTTGATATTACATATTGTCCATCATCTATGTACGTATGTATGTATGTATGTATGTAGGTATGTATGTAGGTATGTATGTACCTACCTACCTATCTATCTAATACATGAATAATAATTAGTACTTTAATATATATGAAACCAATAATTGAATTGCCTTCACTTAGCCACAGTGGTCCACTTAGACTTGAAAAGAGACAAACATGAAAAACCACACGTGCTTTAAAAAAAAAGAGGAAAAGCTAGCATTAAAAACACAGGAAAATGAGCATTTTAAAGGCATGATATATAAAGTGACATTTTACACGTATCAAACACAAGCCTGCTTTTGAAGAAAGTACTTACATGTCAGAATTGCATCTTCACATTTTAGCCACCAATTATAGCAAGGGACAAAGCAAGCATAAAGGAAAGCTTCATTCATCAAAGGTTACAGCACAACAACATTACGATGTCACTGTTCTACCCTTACCTTTAAGATATAAGACATCCTCTAAAATGAATATGTAAAGAAAGAGAAGATGAGCGTGAGAGGTCGATGGTTATAATGACCAAATCCATTTATCAATAATTCTAAAACAACATTTGAAATGTTAGTGTTATCATAAATTACATGGAGAGAATATCATCACATTTCCCACATTAGTTTCAGATGCAATATCTTCATGCAAAAGTCCAAAGAATCCAGTTCTGTGCAGAATTACAAATGCTGAGAAATCACCGAAATGCACAGCACATAGCAAGAATATATTAATAACTCTCTTCCCCCAGCAGAAACAAAGAGATCATGCCTTAGTTTTTAATAGATTAGTTATGTGAAGGATTAAGTCAACTTTACCCTTCAGAGCTCACCTTAGTATGAATTTAGTAACTGACAGTTGCAAAATGTTCATTATTAAAAAGGGGACTAGGTTACTATGAAGTGGCACTCCTGGTTTAAGTAATCAAAGAAAGATGAACGGTTGCAGGTCAGTTTCAAAGCAAATCTGTGGGACCACTTCCTGCCCAAACTCTGAATAGAGTTAACTTTAAAAAAAAAAAAAAAGCTCGAGTCATGTCTCCTATCATGTCAGTTGAAAGGGTTAAAAAATCCTGCAGTATCTATGTATTGTTCTGTTTCATTGCACTGAGCAATGGAGACAACAATTAATTGGATCAGAAGCATGGTTGCTCAAATCAAAATACACTCCAATCCGAGCAAAGTCTCCAAGACCAAAACACATGGGACAGAGAATTCTACGTGGCCTTTACATCAAAATTGTAAGGTTCGTTTCATAACTGTCAGCAACTTACTCTTCATACAACAAGACCTTAAGAGCAGTTATTAATAAATGAGCATCTTTCCTGAAATATGAAATAATTAGAAATAAGTAAGAGGGTGAAAACCTCACTGGGTGGAAAGGTAACACTTGTGTAGTTATGGGGGTAGTAACTGATGTGCCTTGTCTGCATTTCTAAAGCAAAGGGCCAGACACTCTGGTCATGGTACATCTTAGCAGCACACTAGGCAAATATCAAATACCCTGTGCGGGAAGCTGCTACTGAGAAGTCTGTCTGTAAAAAGACATTTCTTTCATTATATTCTTCTCTCCTTCTCATTATGGCAAACATTGATTTCATAGTTGAGACACATGGCTCAATCTCATTGGGTTTCATTGATCAACATGCTACAAAATGCAGAATTGGGTGTTTGATTGGAAATGCAGCTTTCAATGAAGTGTTTCTTGTTTGAGCTGTGTGTACATAGTTAACTAATCTAAAGAATTAGTGTCACCATGTAAAGAGACAACAGAGGCACTTAAGGAATAGACTAGGGAAACAGGCAGTGCACTTGAACTGTTCAGTTCCATCTATGTCTGTAGATGGAGAACAGGGAAATGGAAACTTAAGAAACAATCTCTGAATCTAGCAATTCAGGATATATATATGTACAGATATATATTATATATATCTGTACATATACATGTATCCTATCACAAATTCTAGCATATTCTAACTGAACTATTTGCAATAAGCTCCAAAATTAGCTGTCAGAAGCATTTTATACCATATGTAGCAAAATTACCTCTTTATAACCTAGTGCTGCTGATGGTCTAAGTGGAGGTGCAGGTCGTAGGCAACTTAAACTCCACGGTTTTATAATTTGAGGAGGCTCCAAGGGTCCTCGGGGCTGTCCAGTAGAGCTAAAAGACTGGGAAAATGTCTCATGAGATGCTGGCAATTAGCCATCTGAACCCGACCTGGTACCACACAGTGAGAGAATGACAATAGCTTCATTGGATCAGCAAAGCCCGACGTGAAAGGGGGAAGATGGAATAGTGAGTGTCCAGTGGGAAAACTAACAGTTTCTAGACAAGGTTATGGGGTCTCTAGGTAACAGCACAAAATGGACTCAGTGTCCCATGATCCTGTCCTCTTTTTTGCAATTCCATTTAAGGCAGAAACGTTTCCTCTGTAAGGGAGGAAAGTGGAACAGCAGAAACGATTGGAGTTTCAGTAATGTGTTTGGTACTCAATTAGTTTCTTAAGTGGGCTCCTTCATCAGAGTAAACAACGACAGACTCAGAGAAGTGAAGTGACTGGCTAGAAACTGGCAAAGACAAGATTTAAACCCAGATTTGATGCCAAAGCCTGTGTTCCGCCACCGCAACACACAGCACTCAAAATAGGGCATTGCAGGTTTGAGCGTTAACAGACACCAGAGGAAAGCTTCCATGTCACCCAGCAAGCACAGCAAAACCTCATTAACTCCAACTCCACAAATTCTAGATTCCTAAGAGCTCAGATGACAACGCTAAATGTTTACCTTTCATGCATGTTACTGAGCAGATGGGAAAGCATGAATGAGATTACATGAAGATGTTTAAGTATTCAGAGAAGTGAACTACTTGCTTTGACTTAGCATATGATTAAGGTGAGAGTAACAGTTATGAAGCAAGTCTTGTTTATCATTAAACTCTCTTAGAAGGTCCTCTGGTGGGAAACACTTGATTAGCAGTTAGCAGGAGTACATTAAGACTGCTGACCAAAATCACACATATTTAACTGAAATGTTTTACTAATTTCAATGGGCCTCACAATGATGAGGACTCAGAATTAGTGAGGTTTAACTGTACTTCAGAATCTACAGAGACCACCCAAAATCAAAGGGCATGCTTGCTGCTGATTTTTAGAAGTCCTTAGCAGACAAAGTCTGACAAAAACTTCAACAATCCCAATACTTCAGTAATCCCAATACTCCAACAATCCCAATACTTCAGTAATCCCAATACTTCAATAATCCCAATGAAGTACTTACAGAATGAGCACTACATGATGATGATGAGGTCTTAGATAATGAACTGCAAGAGGCTGGTCCTCTGGTCAGTCTGTTCAGCTGCTCCAGCCATTCCTGGAAGTCCTGGCTATTGTTGCAATAGACCACAGTTCTCTCTACCACATTACCTGTATCACCCAATTAGGAACATTTAGGAAGAAAATGCAAGGATCTGTCTTACAAACACTCTTCAGTGGGGCATCTATTTTCAGGCATCTTCCTCTCCATGAAATAACCCTTTCAAACTTTAACATTAGGAACAGAGAAGTTGTGATAAAATGATTATTCATTTTTATTTCTAATAATGCCCTTGATTTGTACCACTTTGCAGAATCTTAGACATAGAGTAAAACCTCGCAATAAACACACTTGCGATCTAAAACCTTAAATGTACTAACTGGCCATCTAGTCCATAGCACAATCTAAGAATATTGTAAGAATATTGGTTTGCCCAGTGTCCAAGGTGGAACAACATGTAGTTAAAACCAGTTGAAAAATCTTTAGGCAAATACCAAATCTTGGGCTCCTTATTGGTGAGTACAGGGTTTGATAAGGTCTAGGGACATTAACACTGTCTTCATCACTGTGTCATCCATGTAGCAGTACAGCCATTACAAGTAAATCACAGAGACCCAGCAAAGGGGCCAACAGCCTAAAATGTGAGGGAGAATTATGAAGATTGGGCTCAATTTGTATAGAAAGCTTTCTGGCTTCTTAGAACAAAAGCATGCCTTGCTAGTTTATAGACTGATAAGATTGGTGAGAAAAGTCCACACCTTTGGCTTCTCGGCCACCACGGACCACATGACAGAGAAGGTCAGTCCATTTTGTTATTCTCTGGCTCTCACAAGAGAAGATGGAAAGTAATGGCAAAGTCGAGGCTATTAACTGACAAGCAAGTTTCACTGCTTTAGCAGTCTACTCTAGCTGTCCTGGGGATGGAATGGGCTGTGCCATATCCCTGTATAACCTGCTTATGGACTATACAGGAGGAAGTAATAGCATTTACTTTTTAAACACCACTTTATTCCAAAAAGGATTTGAAGTAGTCCCATGAAAAGGAGAAAATGACCTACCTGTGATTTCAAATGCGTACTCATTCCCTTCAATTTCATCTAATCTAGCCACCACCATCCCTGCTAGTGGTATTTTTCCCTAGCAGAAAAAAGAATATTCTTATTAATTCTATGATTGCACATATTTCTCTCATACTTTTGATCCTCACAGAAGTCACATATTTAACTAGTCTGAAAATATATAATGCTTCCCTAGTCTAGATTTTAATTAGACAAGAAAGCAAGGGAGAAATGTGTATTTGGCTAATACACCTCAAACCCTAAGCTCATGATTTACAAAACAGTTGCACTTCTGATGTATTTTCATATGAATTGAAAAGCAAAGACTCACATTTTATGAAAAGGAGTAATAGCCAGGACCACATATAACAGAGAATCATAGCTTAATAGTCTACATTTGGGGAACAGCCTGAGGGAGGTTTCATTGCATATGGCATTTAAGGGCTAGCACCTTACTAACCCAAATAGTATAACATGGCTATCATATGATAATCCCAGGATCAAGTCGCAGCTTTGCGGTTTTCAGCAGTAATGATATGGGTCTGTAAACTGTTATTACTAATTTATCCAATTATAGATTTAGATCTCTTTTTATACAACTGGAAACCTAGCTCATAAGCAGAACAGCAGATAGCCAGGACAGGATTATATGACTACAAAGGTCTTTGATCCCAAGAACATCTGTTCTTACAAGCAGTTTCATTATAGTGAAGGGTTAGAACATTGTGCCTTTGCTGACTTGGGCTGACAATGCCATCGTGCATCTCTCTGAGCAGAAGCCTGTTTTCATCTGGCCTTTGCTAATCTGTGTTATATGGAACTACTCACCTGATAGATAAAGCCACTCATCCGAGGACTTGCAGACAACATTATCAAGACATTTGAAAACAGCATGAAATATCGTTCTTCTTTTTCCTGAAGTAGAATAAAGATCATGAAAGGGAGAACAGCAATTGAACTGCTTTTGTTAAGACCTTCTGAAAGCACTGCTTCAAAATACAGGCCTTACATAATCATCGATCTAGCATTGGCGGTGAGTTGTAAAATGATAGCCAACTCAAAAGTGCCAACAAGTATGTACATTATTCCCCGAGTGTGTGAAAGTAAGAACCCACACAGATTCTGGACCAGTGTGACATGCTAGTTCCAGACACAAAGTAAGTCTCTCAAAGTTCCCCAAACTAAAATATAGCTTTATTTTGAATAGTAGCAAAATGAAGCAACTTTTAGCAGATAAAAAATTTATGGTCTGCTACAGTTGACCTGAGCTCGTGGGAGCTCACAGACTCTGGACTGACAGCTAGGGAGCCGACAGGGGACCAACCTAGGCCCTCCTACATGTGGGTGACTGTTGTGTAGCTTGGTCTGTTTGCAGGCTGCTAGCAGTGGGATCAGGACCTGTCCCTGGCACTTAAGCTGGCTTTTGTGAACCTATTCCCCACGCTGGGTTGTCTTGCTCAGCCTTGATGCAGGGGAAGGAGCTAGGCTCTGCCTCAACTTGATGTGCCATGCTTTCTTGACGCCCATGGGAGGTCTGCTCCTTTCCGAACAGAGGAGGAGTGGAGGGAGGGTAAAGGGGGCTGGAGAGAGGGACTGGGAGGAGAGGAGGGAGGGGAAACTGTGATCAGGATGAAAAATAAATGAAAAGTTTTAATCAACAAAAAAGAAATTTATGATCTGCTAATATTCCCAGTCATTAAATTATTTCTAATCATTAATACTAGGAGGATTATGGGCCCCATGGCTAAAGTACCTGCTGCTCAAGCATGAGGGCCTGGGTTAGGATTCCCAGAAATCGTACATTTGCAGAGCATAGCAGCAAGCATCTAAAATACTGAATGCTGTAGGGTCATAGCCAAGTGGATCTAGGGGGTTTATTGGTGATCCAGTCTAGACAAAAATCGGTAAGCTCCAGGTTCAATAAGAAACAAAATTGGAACGTAATAGAGGAAGACATTTGTTGTCACCTCTGGCCTCCCCCCAAATGCACATATATAGACAAGTCTACACACACATCTACACAGAGAGAGGTAGTTACTGTATGGCATGTAAGACAAAGACATCAATCAATACATTTAAAAATTGGTGTGGATTATTTGGGCTCTGTGTATGATATTGGAAACACAACACTGGGACTTGTGCATACTAAATCTACTGTCCTATTCACCTTCAGCTCAATTTCATGTTTTTTTTTTGATTGGCACATAACATATTTGTGCACATTGATAAGAAACAATGTGAAATTTCAATTCATGTATATTTTGTGTAATGACCAAATCCAAGTTATTAGCACATCTACTATCTTAAACTTCTATCATTTTTTCATGACAAACAAACTAAAATTCCTTTATAGGGCCACTGAGATGGCTCACTGGATAAGACTTGTCTGACAGCAAGTCTGATAGATGATTTGAAGACCTGAGTTTGATCCTCAGGACCCATGTGGTAGAAGGAGAGAACCAACCCCTACCAGGTGTCTTCTGACCTCCACATGTGTGCTTTGGCACACAGATGTGCATGCACAAAAAAATTAACAAATGTATAAACTGCTTATAAATGAAAAGAAATTCTCTCTTTTAGCTCTTTTAAGATTATTGTAATGCATTTTTGTCAACTACATTTTTTGATTTCACTAAAGTAAACTTGATATGTGAGGGCCCTAACAGAATCACAAGTAGTAAATACAAAAAAATCCATTTTGAGGCAGAGGCAAGTGGATCTCTGTGAGTTCAAGGCCAACCTGGTCTACAGAGCGAGTTCCAGGACAGCCAGTGCTGCTACACAGAGAAACCCTGTCTTGAAAAACCAAAAAAAAAAAAAAAACCCCAATCATTTGACACAATAATCCTCATGGCTATCTCCTCACTCTTCTTCCCACTTGAATAGAGTAAACCTTCAGAACTAACTGTTGGACCAACTATTATGGTCCCCGATCTTTCTCTTGCCTAGTTTTCCTTCCACAGACATCACCTTTCTTCAGCAGCCTCTCCTGCTCATTGCTATCTTCAGAACCTTTCTCACCCCGTGTGGCTCCTCATTCATAATATCTCATTTCTTGACGTTTTATTGCCAAATTACACGCTGCCTTCATTTTCTCTCCATTGATTCCTCCCCCACTGCTTTCTCAAAGTCATCAATAACTGCCTTCTAGCAAAATCCAATGGCTTCTTTTCTGTCCTCGCACTCCTTGACCTCTGAACCTTCCATAGCACTCAGCTTGCTGGTCACTTTCAAGTACTCCTCCAGGAATTTCAATGACACCACAATCCTCAGTTCTATTCTATTCTCCTATTTGTGTCCCATGATGGTTCTTCCTCCTTTCACCCAAGGATTTTATCCCAAAGATATGAATGACAAATAGTTACCCTCACTGCATTAACCTTCCCCAGGGTATCTGCATTTTCAATAAGATTGCTTATTAACTCGAAGTAATGAATCTCTGCCACAAGCACATCAGAGAGTATAGGAAGGTGTTTATTGAGAGGACAGACAACGCTAACACTCAATAAATCATATTAGGTGACATGATCAACCTTTCTCTCCTATCCTGGCCTCTTCCTAAAAGAAATAATCCATCTTCAACCTCTGTGCTTCTCTTTGGATATGTACTTCTTAGAAAGGTACATTTTTCAGAGACATCTAAATCTCTGTCTTTAATGCTGACCTCTCACCTATATTTCCATAGTACATTAACAGGACATCTCCATGCAGATACCTAGTTAGCAGGTCTAAATTATATCTGCCATTTTCTGTATCCCGTAAGCCACCCCTTTCTGTTGATATTACCATCTAAATGTGTCTCAAAGTTACCCTTCATTTTCCATTCCCTCTGTCTCTATCCCAGTTGACCTTGACAGAAGGACCAATAAAGGAAGGGAAATATGAAAGTTGAAAGAAGCAATGCTGAAGACTTACCTCACAGGTTCCATACTGCACCATTACTTGTGACATAAAGATGACATTTCCCAGGGTCTTAATATCATCTCCTTCCCATGCCTGAATAGGTTCTGAAAGGATCTGCAATTCCAGTTGTTTTCTCTTTCTCAGATCTTGGCACTGCCCCTACAGATATGAAACAGAACATGATGAAATAGGGATTGAGGTGAAACAGATAGGGAAAGTTCTCAGCCCCAAAACAAGTTCAAAATAAGGTACGGCTTTTTACTCCTTGCTTCTCACTGGATCTCTTCATCGTTTACCCTGAATTCTATGGCCATCCATGCTCCTGCCAAACAAACAAGTACACTACCTAGCTTTGAGCCTCTCAACGTTATAAGAAGAGGTGACAGCTTCCATTTTGCCAAGGAATCAAGATAAAATGGTAAGAAGGGGCTTATTGCTCCCTCCCCATAAAGAGTTTGGAGATTCCAGAAGCAGAATCCCATCAAGTAGAGTCACGATAGCAAACAGACCTTCGCTACCATGGGTAAATAGGGCTGTAATTACAAAATAAGTGTATGCTCACTCTCCAACAAGGTACCAACCTGATGATAAGAAAAACAAACAAAAATTACTCTTAGAGTTTTGAAAACAGAGAACGGCAAAAGAATCTATGTTTTTATGCCATAGCAAATTTGAGTTTATCATGAACACATGCACTGTCCTCATTTTGTTTAGGGAGCAACAGTACCTTGTAAAATACTTAGCTTATCTTTAGTCCTGAAGGGATTGGGGAAAACAGATACAAGTGCATTTCGTGATGATTAAATTGGAAATTCAAATCAAGAAACAGTCTGCCAATACTATGTGGGGTATGAAATATAGAGAGATATAAAATCTGTTTCAGAAGAGGAAAGTTTTCTTAGAGTAATTTAACAGTACTCATTCCAAAATGAATACAAGTCTAAGCAAATGTTTCCTTATGCTACTTTGTCCACATGAATGTATGATACTTTTTGGAAGTAATTTTTTTTTCTATAAAAATCTGTTGCATCATTTAACTAAGACTTTTAGAAATAAACACATTATACAGATTTTGAAAGCATGTGTATTTGTAGTAACTATATTACCACCATCACAGCAAGTTTTATAACATGACAAAAAAGAATCACGTCTGCCTTTTGTTGTGGGGGGGCATATTTTAGTTTTTGTTTGTTCAGACACTCTTGTGCAGCTCAAGCTGGCCTCAAACTCAGAAGGCAACTGAGGCTCTGACTTTGAACTGGGCCCTCTGTCTCTGTGTCCCAAGTGGTGGTATCTAAGCACCCCTAGCATACCTGACTGACTCTTGAATTTGTTGTGCTGTTTGATAACCCGTTTCTTCAGAGGCCGTTTATGTTCATTCACATAAGAATGAATAAAAGAGACACAAATGACAACAAATGCCAATGCCAGGCATGGGTTTGAGTGAGCTGTTCTATGAAGTGGAGCCATGGAAAACTGCGGGTATTTTTACTACTTTTGCCTGACAACGGGTACAAATTTATCATAATGCCTTGTCTGATCTTCAGCTTTCCCTTTAAGCACTGACACATCAGTTATGTATCTTTCAAAAGCAATAAAAGTGAAGTGATGGTGAATGCTATCCAGTAACCTTCTAGCAAGGATCAAAAGCTAAACATTAGTCCAAATCCCACAGAATGTTTTAGAAATGTCAAATATATCTAAATTTAACTCATTACTCAAAATAAAGGGTTTTTTTCCCTTCTGAAATGGCATCAAAAGGTTTTTCATCAGTGGGTTCAAGGAGACAGGCTAATGTTGATGCTCAAAGATATAAGATTATAGCTACCTCTGCTAGCTATCTATAGTAAGCAATTTCATTTTAGTACACTATGTTTGCCCTTTTATGAAGGATTACTTTTTCATATGCAAAGAACAAATTCACGTATTTTGGCATAAATAGTGAAATCCAGTCTTGATGCCAATCAGTGAATGACAAGTTATACAGACAAAGGGTGAGCAATGGGGGTAAAGACAAAGAAAAAAAGGAAACCCCCCACCTACACATCAATGCTTAATGTGGCCAAGACTTTCAAATGTGATTGCTTTATACCCTCAGTCTGGCAACCTTTCGTAGGTGAGCATGATTTGCAGAGAACAAAAGCAAATGTAACAATCACGGAGCTTATTGTTTCCACCCCGAGGACCTTTGCTTAAGGAAAGAAATGTTACACACAAATCATTCTTTCAGCAACAAAGTATACAAAATGGAGTATGGCAATCTGAGAGTGTCACCTACCATGAGGGTTTTGAATGCTATGATTGCTTTCAGAATGTCCTGATGATCCGGATGGGTGTCCTATCAAAGGAATACATTTAAAAAACAGAATCAGCATATGCATATATGTATGTAACAACATTAATGAAAAAAGAGGCCATGAGTGAAAGAGAGCTAGAAGGAGTATATGGGAGGGTTTGGAGGGAAGAGGGAAGGACAAAAATGATGTAATTATATTATAATCTCAAAAAATAAAATAATTAAAAATAAATAATACAAACAGTATGAGAGGAGAATGGATGCTGTCATGGATGAGGTGGGATGAACATATGGCCACGAAAGTAAGTGTGTGTGTGTGTGTGTGTGTGTGTGTGTGTGTGTGTGTGTGATGGAATTGTCTTATATCTTCACTATGGTGGTAATTACATGAATTCACACCTGTGTTAAAATTCATGGAACTATGAACCACAAGAAATTTTATTTATTCTTATCTTTTGAGATGATTTTATTTTTAGTTATGTGCCTGTATGAGATAGAGTGTGTGAGAGAGTATGCACATATGAGTATGTTGGTGTTGGAGGAGGCCAGAGGCTTTGGATTCCTCTGGAGCTGACTCGGAACTACAGGCAGTTAGTTGTGAGCTGGCTGACGTGGATGCTGGCATCTGAACGAGGGTCCTCTGCAAAAGTAGTATTCACTCAACTGCTGAGCTATTTCTCCAGCCCCAGAAAGTTTCTTAATCACCTAATTACTGAAAGTACTGAGATCCTAAATTCTGGTATATTTTTTTAATTCTTAACTTATCATATTACACAACTATTTTGCACATAACATTTGAATTTACTATTATCTTTTCATTTTAATTGACAAGCAAAATTATACATATTTATGGTAGGCAATATGATGTTTTAATGTATGCATACACATATATACATAGGCATTGTAAACAGCAGTATTTAGCCAAATACTGTAGTTTTTAAGATAGTTTATAACACATTATATATTTAGTAACAACATAATAGGTATCATTATTGAGGTAAAATTTCCCATTTCCCTGACCAACAGATAATGGACTCCACAGGGTTTTCTTTGTGTGTGTGCTTTTATTTGGTTACAGTTTGGTGGGTTTGTTTTGTTCTTTTTGGGTGTTGCTGTATTTTGTTTTCTAGGTTTTGGGGGTTCTTTTTTGAGAAAGAACTTAAAGTTGGATGGGTAGGGGGGGGAGAGAACTTGGGGGAAGGAAAGAATATAATCAAAATATATTTACATTTAAAAATTGTTTTTAAAAATATTTAATAATAAATATAGTCATTAAATAATTACTTGGAGGGACATCACTGATCCTGTAGTGCACCTAATGTTGAGGAACATGGACCTGTCAGGCATACCTCGCCTAGGGGTAACTCAACTGGAGAAATGAGAAAGTCAGTTCTGCTCATCCAGTCTTGGGTAGAAAAGAGGGTAGAACAATTAGAGGTCTGACTCATGCCACAGGCAGGATTGTTCACGGAGAGTCAGTGTGTATTCTTTCGTGGTAAATCTTATCCTAACAGGTGATGGATGGTGCTGGCATCTTGGCGTGTATCATCTGACGGCGGCAATCAGAAGGAAGTCAAATCAAATGTGACCAAATGGAGGCTGGACTAGAATCGGGTGAGGGAGGCAGCAGGAGCAGCACCTAGGCCTGGGGGGTTCTTGCCAGCTTAACCGTGTTCCCACTGCAGCAGTGTGCTGCAGCACGGAGAAGTAACAGTTTCTGTTTTTTTGTGATAAGGAAGAAACAATCTGGTGAACTGGCTTAGCATATGGAAAGGCATCCAGAGGTCAACACCTTCCAGAGCCCCAAGTGAAATTTCATTCTGGCAGCCTTTACTCACCAGCTCCCCATTGCCTCCAACTTTGAGGCAGTTCAAATACCCTGAGAATGTGCTTTTCACTCAGAGAGGGTGCTTTCGGTCCTTACAAACGCTGACAAGCACAGCAGCATGGAACCTTTTGCTTTAAAGATAATCAACCCCTTTCAAACCTCAAAACCTTTCCCCAGACACAGGAAGAGCAAGTAGGGTAAACACAGTCTTTCCCACCCACGCCTCCACACCCCATGCACGATCATGAAAGAACAGCTCAGGGCAATGCTTTTGAAAATCACAACGGGATCTGGGTGCTTCATGTTCAATTATCAGACCTCGTTGCAATTCCTAGTATTTAGAAAAGACTGTAGCTGCACTACAATCATTGCACATAAAATTCAGTTTATAAACAAAAATGTGAGTGGACTTTGATGTAGATATACTAATGCACAGTGATACAGAAGTATTGGACCCATTCATAATCTTTGGGGAATGCCAAAGTCAGAAAATCAAATTTCTACAGTGTTCCTATCTGCAACAAACATATTTTTTATATTTCTTTTCTCTTTTGGTTGGTCTCCATGTTTCCTGACGTTGGTTTGCTTTTTCTATCACAGTAATGTTAGTTAAAACACCAGAGATTTGCAGGTCTGATTGCCACTGAACCATCATCTACAGCAGCAGTTTTCAACCTGTGGGTTCAGACTCCCTTAGGATCACATACCAGCTATCCAGAATATCAGATATTTACATTACAATTCGTAACAGTGGCAAAATTACAGTTATGATGTAGCAAGGAAATAATTGTATGGTTGGAGGTCAGCACAGCATGAGGAACTGTATGAAAGGGCTGCAGCCTTAGGAAGGTTGAGAACCACCGCTCTATAGACAAGGCAAAAGAAAACCGAAGTCAATGAATGTGCATTGTCTTGAGGGAAGCAACAGAGCTGAGACCTGGAAGAGAGAGAGAATAGGAGGAAGAATGATAACTGTTGAGCAGGAAAGAATGGGGATCTTCTTTCACTGCATAAAGAGGAATGCTAGGAGATCTTTGGGAAAGAGGGAAGATCAGATCAAGTAGAATTTGAAACCAAGCTATTTTCTGGATTTTTAGCAAAGCTAGTTTGGAGGCAGACCATCTGCTTTGTGCAGCACAGAGGACACCAGCAGGCAAAGGACCTTGCTGAAGCTTTTCTTCCCTTACCTCCATATGTCGCTCCAGCTCTTGCAAAAGAGTAACATACTTTTCCAGTCGCATGAATGGTTTGCTGAGGCTTGTTGTTAAAATGAGGATACCTGGGCTGGATGCACCTTGGTTTTCCATGAATCGTTCTAGATCATCACTAGAGTTAAAAAAAAGTGGATATACTTTCAATACTGTTGAATATCTGATGTCAAATATCGACTTAATGTGTTAGTATCAGGACACAGGAGAATCTCCATGAATTGAAGTCAGTCTGAGCTACACAGTCACTTCTAGGACAGAGTGGGATAAAGAATGAGATGCTGTATAAACGAATGACATTACATTCAAGTTTATGGATGAATAAATAAATTACTTTATAAAATAAATAATTTACATTTATGTTATACACATATTGTAAATATTTATATTATATTCAAACCATTGTTACTTGATTTTAGTATTTGTTAAATACTCTGCTATTAAAAATAGCTTTCTTTGAAATTTAAAAAAAAAGAATGAAATAAAAGGAAGAAAAGGGACGAGGAAGATGGAAGGAGGGAAAGAGAAAGAAAAAGAAGAGAGGGAGAGAAGGAGGGATGAAAAGAAAGAGATGGAAGGAAGGAAGATGGGAGAGGGTGGGAGGAAAGAAATGGAAAGGAAGATTAGAGAAAGGGACCTACTTCCTGAGAATTGACTTGGAAACTTTTGCTTTCTCCCGTGACCACTCAACCCTCTTGGTCACCTGTACATATTTGGCCAGTTCCAGATCTCCTTGGGGGTTTTGTTCTTGTTCACTAACACGGCTACCACCTAAGTCCAAGCCTCCGTTATATCCCATATCCCGTCTAGCACACTTCAGTGGGCTGAGTGTTTCCCCTGGCTCCCTTTCTCTCCCCACTCACCATCCTGTAAACCAGTACTTTAGCCCCACAGCCTTCCCGTTCAAGAATGTCCAAGTGCCGACAATGCAGTCTTAACTTTTGAGACTCCCGCTGGCCTCACCAACCTTCCTTGTTACCCCAAACAACGATTCTCTACTAAAAAGTGGCCAAATTTGTTTTCTTGAACATAATTTGTGTAGTGGTCCCCAATTGCAGTGTTACCACAGCTTGTGAAATATGTCCAAAGAAACTTACTATCAGTAATCGAGTACAAGTGGGGTTGGAAGTGGAGTAACTTGCAGGTGATCCCTATTAAAAATGAATTCTCTCTCCTCCGGTTTCTGGGTTCAGTCAAGGATGCAGTTTCAGCAACCACAACAGCAGCTCTGGCCATGCACTGTCATATGTGTGTCAGGGGGAATGGTCTGACAGTGGCTGCCCCAGGGGCGGCTAGTTGTGACTGAACACTCACATCAAATCATCAGTGTTATCCATTATATCCATTTCACAGCCATTTTCTACAAGCAGCCGAGGGAAAGTGCTGGACACAGCTTGAGTCTTGAGTAACTCATCCATAAAACATAAAAGCAGGAACTGGAGAAAGACTTGGCAGTTAAAGGTATACACCACTGCTCTGGAGAGGACCAGAGTTCTGTCCCAGCATCTACATGAGACTACATCAGAATTGACTGCCTATAATTTCAGCTCCAGGGGATCTGACATTCTCTTCTGGATCCTATGTGCACCTTCACTTACATGTGCACATTCCCACACATAGAAACACACACATACACATGATGAAAAGTAAAATAAATCTACAAAAACAAAACAGGTAAAACCTATTTCCTAATAAAACTGCTCAGATTAAACAAAACTAACAGGATTTGTAAAGCTACCATTTTATGTTAAGCATTTCAGTATAGGTGTTTGTCCCATTTTACAGTTGAGAAACCTGAGGCCTAGAAATGTTACCAGCTGGTAAGTGGTCATGGCAGACTTAATATGGAGGTCTGAAGCCAAACCTTGGGTCTATCCACACTACTACCCTGCCTCTCTACAGAAAGGGATTTTGTCAACTTTAGCCAGCAGATGCATTATTACTACCTTTTCAAGACACATGGCTGGCTAGAATCTTATCTTTAAAATTTCCTAGTACCCATGATTTGGAGCTTAATGGATAATCAACTGATGTTTAATTTCCAACCAAGAGATTAACGAGACATAAAAATTCATCACTTACGAAATATAATTAAGAAAGTGCATTTGAGCAGACATGCAATCTGAAGAAAATAGCTTTCCTAATTTCTTTTCAGTTTGGTAAATAAGCTTTGTGTTTTCTTTCTATGACTAAATGGCTGCCAATCTTCCATATTCTGCTCTCATTGCTGGGAGAGTTGCAGCAATTCATAGCATGGGCGTATGGACACTGTGCTATTATTTTCCATGAAGTATTCTAATTCCTAGGCTTGGGAAATATTATAAAGCAATTTAACTGTTTTTTCAAAATAACATGACACACCTGTCTTGGATTAAAACAGATTATTGGAGAAAAAAGAAAATGTCGTTAATGAAATGAACCAAATTGTTTTTACAGAAACACCACCTGTCATGATGAATTGATTCTAAAAGACACGCTTTACTTAGGCAAATAAGTTTAATATGTAAATTAATATTATATGTAAATAACATTCACAAATGTATAATCATTATACTGAAGATGAATCTGGCTTGAAATGGTTTTTACTTTTAAATAGCAGTGTCTTAAGACTTGTTTGCTCTTTTAGAAAAATCTTATTTTGTTTTATGTGTGTGGGTGTTTTGCTTACATGTATGTTTGGGTACCATATGAATGCTTGGCGCATTCAGAGGTCAGAAGACAGTGCAGGATCCCATGGAACTGAAGTTACAAATGGTTGTGGACCAACATGTGGGTGTTGGGAATTGAACCCAGGTCCTCGGCAAGAGCAGTCAGTGCTCTTAAGTGCTGAGCTGTCGCTCCAGCCCATCCCACCCCCTGCCACCCCACTTTTGACTATTTAAGACAGCTCTCATGTATCTCAGGCTGACCTTTGCTATATAGCCAAGGGTAGCTTTGAACTCCTGATCTTGTTGCCTCAGATGGTATTACAAGACAAGTGTGTACTGCCACACCCAGCTCAAGGCTGGTTTTTGAAGCCTAATATTATTCATCAGAGGCAGCTTTCAATGAGTTTATAAATGCTGTTTGAAATTCAATATACATTTATTTCATAGAAAATATGGTGGATGGGGCTCTGTTATATTCTGGGTTGGGCTGGAAGGCTGGAGAGAATTATTCTGTGTCATAATAACACTAGAGAGCTTAACTAATTCATTTACAATGTTTTTAGGGCCACCAAGGCAGCTCAGTTGGTGAAAGTACTTGGGGTGAGAGTCTTAGAACTAACCTGAGATCAATCCCCAAAACCCACAAAGGAAAGAAGAGCTAACTCTTGAAAGTTGTTTTCTGACCTCTACACCTGGGCTGTTATATAGTAAGTACACACACATACACAAAGACACACATGTATACACGCATACACAACTGAAATGTCAAAAACTGATTCTGTGGAATCCCTGTGCAGACTTTTAACTTGAATTAGCACAACTCTAACCTAGCGGAAGCTCAAAGATTCCTCCTCCCCATCCTATCCTCTCCCCAACAGCCTTTCTTTGGAATTGTGGTACCCTGGCATGAGGAATAGGAAGTTTTGACTTCTAGCCCGTAGAAAAATCACAGGGTCACTGCTTCCTCCGGGTTGAAAGATCTCTATTTTCCTTTCTCCTTTTTCCAGTCCCCAGTATTGGACTATCTGCTTCTGTTTGTTTGGAAATATAGTCTCCTATAGGCCATGCTAGCCTTCAGTTCCTGACTCTCCTGCCTTTACCTCCCAAACGTTGAGATTACAGGCACACACCCACCACTACTCCTGACTTGTCTGCTTTTTTTGTCTCCACTACTTTTTTGTGTGTGTCTAGGTAGTCCCAGCACCTAAGAGACACAAACAAAACACAACTGGGGCTTAGAATGTTTCCTGTCTTCCTTGTCCACAGAGCAAATGGCTAGTTCTTCGGGGGTTTTCTCAAAGGCATCATTGCTAGCAACCTGGTAAACAGAGGGAGAGGGAAGTTACCAAGGAGAAAAGTATACGGAGTATCTGTGGTAGTCACATAGCGGCAGTGGAAATGAGCTCCAGATCTGGCTTAGTGTGTACTTTCTCCTCGCTTGGCTCTTTCTTTTAACCCTCTCCTCGTGGAAAGGACAGACAGGTGCTATACTAAAGCATGGGGAAGAAGTGGGTATTTCTGTAAGGAGCAGTTATTCCCAAGAAGAGCCAGAAAGGTATCTTAGCAAGTCAGCAGGGGAGAGAGAGGGGAACTCCCAGAAGACCTCACCCAGTGGATCACAGAAGACAGAGGCAGCCATTCAAATATATGTAAATATGGGGACCGAGCAAAGCTGGTGTCTGATTACATATTCAAATTCAGGCAACACTTCGCAACATTTTTAAACAGGCATCTGTATGTAATCATCCAATTTGAAAGCTGAATGCATTCTTGCGGCCAACAGTTGCATGTGAGCATTTCTGGTTTGATATTGCCACCTACAGACCCAAAGGGAGAAGTTCACCTGAGCATGACAACTTGAAAGGGAAATCCACTACGTCCATATTTCAGCCCTCACGAAAGCAAGGCTTTAATCTGCATTTTCTGTGAATTTCATTCAGCTGTGCTTTGCATCTCATATGTCATGAGTGATCAACAGACGCACACAAAGTAGCAGAGATTATATTCAAAGCACAACTCAGGGAAACCTCAAGCATTTTAATGGAATCTCACCCTGGACATGTAACTAAGTCAGAAGACAGGAATTTAGTTCTTTGAAGACTCCAGTGAGTCTTCTATCATAAAGTTCCCACAAAAGCACCATTAATCAAGACCAATAGGGTCTTACAGTTCTTAAAATCACAGAGAACCTCTAAAATAATCATGTAACACATTTGAAATCACAATGATTAAAGGGCTCTTATAAGAGTCCCTTCATTAAAAAGGTAGAAGATGTATAAAGCTTATACACTATCCCTCATGCTATATGCTGTCTACTTTGTGGACACTGTTTCATTTAATCCTCAAGAAAGGCAACTGACACAATTAAGTGAATCCTTTCCTGCAATGCAGCTTCTAGTTGGGACAACATAAAAGTGGTAAAAAAAAAAAAAAAAAAAAAAAAAAAAAAAAAAAAAAAAAAAAAAGGATC